GGCAACCACAACCAGCGCCTTCGGCCTTACCTGCGGAGGATGCGCCTCCTGCCCCTCCACCAGTGACCCCTGCTCCGTCCCTGCGAACACCTGGGAGTCGCGAGCCTGCGGCCCCAACACCGGACGTGGAGATGTCCATCGTGGAGGAGACCTCTGCGTCCTTCACGTCAACAGCAAAGAACGCAACGAGGATCGACCTCGATACGTTCATCGAGAGGCACCCCAGCGTGTCCTTCGCTGAGACGGACGCCCTTGGTCTTGGGCGGGAGGAGGTCCTGGACCTCCTCTCCTCGAGGACCAAAACGCAGAGGAGTGTACCCCTCCTGCCGCCTTCGCAGTGCAACGCCCTCGCCGGACTTATCAGGCAAATCTTAGATCTGAGGCCCGGAGCAGCCAGCAACCTCTACAAAGTCCTCGGGCAAGTCAAAGCTGAGCTGAGGACAACACCAGCTGCAGTGCCTCCAACTCCCCCACTGCCTGCGCCTCGGCCCGCTGAGCCTATGCTGCCCACTACCCACAGGGAGAAACTGACACCTCCTTTGATGACACCTCCGCCGCCCGCCCCGACGGACATGGAGGAGGACGATCCAATGACGGAGAAAGAGCGAGACACACCCCCACCGCCTGCGCCTCGGCTTGCTGAGACAACACCACCCTTTCCCCACGGGGAAAAGACGTCGCCGCACATCGCGACACCTCCACCTCCACTGTCCTGCCAATTCATTGATGACCGCTGGACGGAGGCAGACGACATACTACAAGAATTAAACAAAGAACGCGACTGGGGATTGGGGATCAGTGAGAGTGACATCACAGAAGCCATCATATACCCCGAGGATAGGGAGACTCTCATCAGGCGCCTGTCCACTCGGAGGAGGAGCCTCCTCGCTGGTTTCATCAGCGCCGCCATCGAGCGCGCTAGGGACGCCGATCCCTTTGTGCGTGAGGGCATGTCCGCGCTCAGGGGGATGTTGCCCTCCTGATTGGGCCCAGACGAGCCTCGGTGGGGACACCGCCTGATTTGTTTTGAATTGTAAATATTTGGTTCCTCCTGCTTAACTCTTAGGGGTAATGATTGACTATGTAGTCAATAAAATATTTTTAATTGTCATACACATGATACAGACCATGATAATCATGGTGGGTAGTTAGCAAATACTTTTTACTGTAAATGCACCATATGTCTACACATGGTACAGGCCATGATAATCATGGTGGGTAGTTAGCAAATACTTTTTACTGTAACTACACCATATGTCTACACATGGTACAGGCCATGATAATCATGGTGGGTAGTTAGCAAATACTTTTTACTGTAACTACACCATATGTCTACACATGGTACAGGCCATGATAATCATGGTGGGTAGTTAGCAAATACTTTTTACTGTAACTACACCATATGTCTGCACATGGTACAGGCCATGATAATCATGGTGGGTAGTTAGCAAATACTTTTTACTGTAAATGCACCATATGTCTACACATGGTACAGACCATGATAATCATGGTGGGTAGTTAGCAAATACTTTTTACTGTAAATGCACCATATGTCTACACATGGTACAGGCCATGATAATCATGGTGGGTAGTTAGCAAATACTTTTTACTGTAACTACACCATATGTCTACACATGGTACAGGCCATGATAATCATGGTGGGTAGTTAGCAAATACTTTTTACTGTAACTACACCATATGTCTACACATGGTACAGGCCATGATAATCATGGTGGGTAGTTAGCAAATACTTTTTACTGTAACTACACCATATGTCTACACATGGTACAGGCCATGATAATCATGGTGGGTAGTTAGCAAATACTTTTTACTGTAACTACACCATATGTCTACACATGGTACAGGCCATGATAATCATGGTGGGTAGTTAGCAAATACTTTTTACTGTAACTACACCATATGTCTACACATGGTACAGGCCATGATAATCATGGTGGGTAGTTAGCAAATACTTTTTACTGTAACTACACCATATGTCTACACATGGTACAGGCCATGATAATCATGGTGGGTAGTTAGCAAATACTTTTTACTGTAACTACACCATATGTCTACACATGGTACAGACCACGATAATCATGGTGGGTAGTTAACAAATACTTTTTACTGTAAATTTACCATGTCTAACACATGGTACAGGCCATGATAATCATGGTGGGTAGTTAGCAAATACTTTTAACTGTAAATTTACCATGTCTAACACATGGTACAGGCCATGATAATCATGGTGGGTAGTTAGCGACTGCTTTTTACTGTAACTACACCATATGTCTACACATGGTACAGGCCACGATAATCATGGTGGGTAGTTAACAAATACTTTTTACTGTAAATTTACCATGTCTAACACATGGTACAGGCCATGATAATCATGGTGGGTAGTTAGCAAATACTTTTAACTGTAACTACACCATATATCTACACACAGGACTACAAATCAAACTTTAAAGAATATTTCTATAGTGAAAATAAAGAAAAAGAATGTAAAAACTTTGTTTTATTTAATTAACAAGTATTTTCGCCTTAATAAGAAAGAATTCCAAAATCTTATTTGTAAATAAATTACAAGACTTATTAAAATTTTATCTTTTTTTCCTTTCTAAAGAGATTTCTCCCTTATTTATTTTATTATTTTTTTTTTTAAAAAGCCCGGATAAATAATAAATGTCAAATTCATTATACACACGAAGTAAGCAGAGAATTTGAAAAAATAATATATTTATTTAAGACACACACCAATCAGTTTTATTAAATTGTTATTTACTTTGTAGAAATAAGACTTTCCCTGAGTTATATCTTTTATTATTATTTTTTTTTTTACAATTTTTAAAATTATCATTTTTGTGTAAAGCTTATTCAGGCGTTTTTTTTTATGAGTAATTATTATTATTATCATTTTTTTTTAAAGCAGGAAAAATGATTCGATTCGAAATTTCGATTCACTTATATTATCCACACTCATGTACAAAATTTAACGGAACTGGAAAGTCTTTGATGTCGTCGGTCTTTTTTTTTTGAAGAAGAAGATAGAGGCAATTTTGTTCACATTTCGTTATCTCGTGTGTCTACGTGTGTTGAGATTTACAATAAAAAATACAATAGAAATTAACAAACAGCTTTAGCAAGACTAAGAAATGGGCATATTTTTTATTTCAACACACAAAACGCGATATCCCGGCTAGGGATAATTGCGTCGATTTACATTTTTTTAAAACAGAAACAGTTATAAACATATTATACAAAAAAAAAGTAATCGAAATAAAAAGAGAAACAATAATATATATTTAAAAAATGGCCATATAAAAACCTTAAAATTCCAAAATGGACAAAAAAATCTTCAATAACTGCTTGAAATGCAATAGTGCAGAAGCTTCTCCGGAACATATCATGCTCAGAACTGACAATAGAGGACCTATTTTCCAGGCCTATAACTACCATCGCAAAATTGGAGAGGAGTGGATTTCAGGAATTGGTTTAACCATGGACCACCACAATGAGAAGAAACTCATCTCCAAAAACCATTAATACTTTAGTTTTGCCTTACTATATATGGGATTGACCAAATATCAGGGAACAGGCTAAATCAATGTTTAGTTGATTTCTGTTCCACCAGATGGCGCTCTGCCTTTTGAAAAGCATATGTGCTCTTGGTCAAGATATGCCTTTTTATTTTTAATATATGGGATTATGATGGGCCTTTTTTTATAAACTACGATGATTGAGAGGGGTGTTCAGCTAGAATGGATGTTTTCAGGAATCGGCTGCTCGAGGAAATCCAGGCAGCCGAACTAGAGTACGAACGACTGGTGAAGATGATCGCTGACAAAGCCGAGCTTGAAGAGACGTGAGTGTTGACTCTATCCTGATACCCCCATCACAACAACTTCTTTAAGGGGCTCTCATAATCAAATACACCCATACCTCGCTTTGCGTCGGGGTTACGTTAAAAAAACACGACGCAAAGTGAAAATATGTGAAGGCGCAATCAAAAACAAAGGTGTTGCCATATTTTAGGGAAAAAAAAATTAAAGACTCGAATCCAAAACAACGCAACTTCGAAAATCTAACGACGCACAGTGAAAATCAGTAAAAATTAAGCAGCGACGCAACTTCGAAAAAAACGCAAAACGAAACGACGCAAAACGAGGTATTTGTGTAGAATAAAATCACGTTATGGCGAAACCGCTGGGAGGATTCACCACTGATGAGCCAATCCATCCCAATTTATTTTCCAGTAAGAACAAGAGGAGATGTTTTGTTAATAAGAAACGAGCTCAAATGGTTAGAATTTTTATACATACCTGAGTTATATAATTATATGTAATTCTGCTGTCCTCGAAGCTTATGTCCATAGTTCATCTAAAATACCCATTCCAAGAATCTAGCATCAGTATCACTATAAAAGGAAGTTCCAAAATGCAATATAACAGCGGTATGGTAGATTAAACTGGCGAAACCGCTAGAAGGGTTCACCACTGATGAGTCAGGCCTTCCCATTAATTTTTTTCCATTGCAATAAGGGCAGTAGAAATTGTTTTATTTCTTTAAAAGAATCATACACGCGTCTAAAATAGTTTCGTATTTTGATACATAGATGGCTTGCTATTGCCTTATGTTAATCATATTGTAACGTAGAAAAGTTAGGAAAGACAAACTTCTGGATGACACGACAATTTATTCATGGCCGAAAGACAATATAGATTTACGGGCTACTTACCAAAGTAGTATGATTTTTAAGCCCAGAAAAAAAAAGGGATTACCTTACAGCACCCGGTATTCCCAAGTGGTCACCCTCCCAAGTACTAACCAGGCCTAACGTTGCTTAACTTTGGACGAGAACCATGTTAATCACATTGTAACGTAGAAAAATTAAAAACTTCTGGATGACACGACAATTTACTCATGGCAGAGAGACACTATGGTTTTACGGGCTACTTACCAAAGTAGTATGATTTTTGAGCCCAGAAAAAGAAGGGATTACCCTACAGCACCCGGTATTCCCAAGTGGTCACCCTCCCAGGTACTGACCAGGCCTAATGTTGCTTAACTTCGAACGAGAACCTGTGTTTTCAATGTTATATGGCCATAAGCCACAAAAAAATAAATAAATAGCAGAGCGTGGTTATTTATTCATGGCACAACCAGAGCATCCAAATCGCTCAAGATTACTCGGCCGAGCTGATGGTCCAGGTCCTCCCAAGAACTGGTCTGCCGATGCTATGGACTCCGTCTCAAAGAGTCGGGGGAGTGAAAGACAAAACCTCAATATCTGAGGAAACAAGTAAATTCGGACAGAGTCTCAAAGCAGATCCGCCTCAATTCCCAACCAACAACGATTCATGGCAAAGAACAAAATCAACATTTATAAGGGAAGCAAATGAAGGAAGTTTACATATTAGAAAAATATAAAACATCAAAATTGATAATACACCTATCCCCCGATTTACACGGTACTTTTTTTTACACGTTTTCGCTTTTACACGGTTTACCAAATAATTTTCTTGTTTTGTTTTTATCGCACTATACTAAATGCTACTGTGATTGATCACATGCGCTGTGTACACATCTCACGAGGAATCTCGAGCTTATGTGCTGACTTGCTGCACAACGCACACTGTGTCTGTATTTCTTCGCATAAAAATTTCGCGAAAATTTTTAATTTTCGATCTACACGTTTTTCTCAGGAACGTATCTACCGTGTAAATCGGGGGATAGGTGTATGTTAATAAATACGTTACTTCAATATCTATAAACTCTCTCTCTAATCGGAATCTCTCCTTGTACTAATCAACAAAAGATTTCTCAACAATGATTTCATGGTCTTGCTGACGAAATTAAAATACAAGCCATATTGAAGTATAACATTTATAATACGGCTTATGATTGTAGAACGAGGTTTGACAATTTTGCCGCAAATATTTCTTTTGAATGAAAAATTCGTAATTCATTTTAAGGAGAAATAACCACTATCCTTAGAGATGAAGTATGAAAGGATGAATTATGAAGAGTAATGATAAACGGAAAAATAAAAGTGTCCATGGATGGGAATACTTCATCTCTAAGGATAGAAATAGTCGTTATTTCTCCTTAAAATGAATTACAATTTTTCATTCAAAAGAAATATTTGAGGCAAAATTGTCAAACCTCGTTCTATAAAATTTATAGTTTTATTATATGAAGTGTTTCACCTATACAATGGAAAGCTTGTCTTACTTCGCTGTAACGTGAAGAACAGTTTAACACACGTTCTTTTGGATTGGACAACTTTAGTATGAAGAGTTCCATGATAACATTTATTGCTAACCCATGTAAGTGGGTAGTGTGTTGAGAATAAGTTACCATCTGATAACCCGGCGGATTTATCGGTAAGGTGATCATCATTATTACTGTTTTTGTTTACCTTAGGCTGGCGGAAGTTCCGGCATAGCTGTGATAAGTTAAATAATGTTGCCTTGTAAATAGTTAAATAAATAAAACTAAACGGAATAAATCCTTAAGTTAAGAGTATTTCCTTTTTTATAACAAGGCATAAAGCCATACAGGTAGCGACATTTCTTTTAGTTGTCGCTTCGAAATATAAATTTTGAAAAAATATTATACGAGCGCCAAAAGCGCGAAACGCGTTCGTGGATGGCTTTTCTTGATTTATCAAGAAATTGGGTTGGCCAAATATCAGGGAACAGGCTAAATCAATGTTTAGTTGATTTCTGTTCCACCAGATGGCGCTCTGCCTTCTGTAAAGCACATGTGCTCCTGGTCAGGATATGCCGTTTTTATTTTTGATTTCAACACCTGATCTTTTTATCTTTTATTTTTTCCTTTCGTTTTTTTCATAGAGGGTAATGTTCAAAATAATTCTCATGGATTAAACTAAAGGAAGTGTAAAGTCTTTGATATACCCTGTTGTCTGTTTTTTGAAGAAGACCGAGGTAATTTGGTTCACACCTAGTTATCTCGTGTTTCTTCAATAAAGGTCACTGTAATATATTTTAGAGAGTTATTGTCTGAATCCTTTTATACATGCTAGAAGATCCAACTTCCTTAAGTTTTGTCTATGAGTGTAGTATAACAATCGGATTAATAGAGTAATGCATATCTTTGGGAATATTCCAAGAACAATTGCATATGTAGGTAACTATTATGCAAATATGTTTACAAAATGTAGTTCTCAGGATGGGATATAACCCTTCATCAAGTATGATAACATATTAAAAATAACCCCGCCTAGAATATATCACACCACCACCAAAAGTTTTGTCCATGAGTGTATATTGAAGACATGCCGTTACCCTCTCGAGTCCAAGGACACATATATCCATAGACGGATTGTGGTCCATCAACAAAAGGTCGTTCCCGTAACTGAAGCGAACGCGCCCCCAACTTTGCTCTGCGTGTCCAGGACGGCTGAAGAGACCGCGGAAGAATGTTCCGCTATCGAAACCAACTAAAACGACGAAACATTTTCCCGTTTGTGTCAGTGATGCCCCAAATTTTTTTTTTTTTACAAAAATAATAAACCAAATTCTCTTATCTTTCTCTCTTTCTTCCCCGTCCCCCCCTCAAGTTTCACCCTCTTTATTCTTTATTGTCATATTTGTTAGGTTATCTAGTCCACGTATTGTAATATTATTGACTTTTCTTGATTCTTCAAGACAATAGGTTGGCCAAATATCAGAGAACAAGTTAAATCAATGCGAAAAAGGATAGTACAAATGTGATATTGTACTGGGATAAGGTGCATAAATTATGAAAAAGGCATCTCCTTATCGTGCAGCTGAAAGTTGCTGATGGCTTTCACCATCTATCGGAATAAATATAAACTATTTTCGTTGATTTCTAATTATTCCAGGTACAGCTTGCACCACGCTGATGAGGGCCAACAGCCCGAAACGCATCCGTGGTTAGCTTTTCTTGATTAATCAAGAATGGGTAATTGGCCAATTCTGGAATAATTAGAAATCAACGAGAATAGTTGATATTTATTCCGATAGATGGCGCAAGCCATCAGCAACTTTCAGTTGCACGATAAAGAGATGCCTTTTTCACAAGTTAAATCAATGTTTAGTTGATTTCTGTTCCACTAGATGGCGCTCTGCCATCTAAAAACCTCATGTATGAGCGCGGTCAGGATATACCTATTTTGTGTTTATTGTGATATTAGAAACTAAAAAAAGAGACATATTCTGTGACTGCTCCCATGAGCATTTTTAGATAGCAGAGCAGCGCCATCTTGTGGAATAAAAATCAACTAAACGTTGATTTAACTTGTTCCCTGATAAATGACCAAACCATTGTCTTGATAAATCAAGCAAAGCCAACTACGAATATTGTGATATGTCAGAACATGTGGTTTCCTGTTAAAACAAAAAGGTAGAAACTTGTTAAAAGTTACTCGTTACCTAACTGATTAATTCAAGCTGGACTTCAACCTTTTTATAAACGTTTATTATCCCTAGTACACGTAGTACAGGCCATGATAATCATGGTGGGAAGAGTCGGAGATCATTGAAGCATTTTTTTTTCAGGGGAAAAACGTTTCCAATATGAGATTCGATACTGAGTATTTAGAAATTTACCGTATATACCATTTCGTCATCAACACTTCTATTGTTTATTTATAACATCGCCACGTTTTGAAATATATTGTTACGTCACCGCTGTAGTGTAAAAGATGTACAAATAAGTACGTGGTAAAGATTTCTGTTTGGCTACTCTTTGTTTTCCTTCATGTATTATAGAGTAACATACATCATGACGTGAAAAAATAGTACAAATGTGATATTGTACTGGGATAAGGTTCATAAATTATGAAAAAGGCATCTCCTTATTGTGCAACTGAAAGTTTATGATGGCTTGCGCCATCTATCGGAATCAACTATTCTCGTTGAGAATAAAAATCAACGAGAATAGTTGATATTTATTCCGATAGATGGCGCAAGCCATCAGCAACTTTCAGTTGCACGATAAAGAGATGCCTTTTTCATAATACATAATGACGTTTGACAAGTTTTACCGACAAATGTTTCTTGTCAAAAGTCGTTTTACAATCATAGGCCGCATTATATTGTATTACATATATCATCCTTCGGTCAGCAATAGAGAGGACAACTTCACTCTGATCACAAGCTGGTCTTCTTCTTTCTTGACTGGTTATTCTCAGTTATTCTTGGAATGAACACCTGTGGTTGAACTGACCCTGCTTACTACCACGGCGCTGTCTAATATTTCTCTTTGTAACAATCTGTTTTCATGGAAGCTTTCGCGTTTTCTCTTTCTCAACCTATAGTTACAAAACTTACCTAACGTAACTGTCGAATTGAAAAATGGCTAAAATTACTGTTACACATAACTTTTTTTTTATTCTCAGGGATTTCAACCTTCCACAAAATCGATGGGGGGTCGGTGGAAAGCTGGTTAAACCATTTGGTTTTCGACCACTATGATCCGGGTTCGATTCCCGCATTGGACACTTTTTTCTGTTAAAAAAATGCTCCAATGGCCCCCGATTCTTGCAAAAGTCCAACCCCACCAGCGAGTGCAAGTAACCAAGGGGCTCTAACACATTTGTAAGTGCAAAGTCGAACTGCTTTTCACATGTGTAGACATGTGGTGCGCTTACAGTAAAAGCAGTCGCTAACTACCCACCATGATTATCATGGCCTGTACCACGTGTACTAGGGATAAGCAAAAAAACAAAAAACAAAATCAAAATGCGTTTATATAATGAATGGTATACGTATGAGTAAAACCATTTCTCCTGTTAAAATAATTATATATTTTTTTTACACGTATATAGTGCATATATTATTAGAACTTTGGTACCAATATACATACACTCATGGACAAAGATTAAAGAAGTTGTACCTTTTAACATGTATAGCGGGATTCAGATAATAACTCTGAAAGATATTTGATGCACAGTCACCATTATTGAAGACACATGAGATTACAAAGTGTGAACAAAATTACCCTCGTCTTCGAAAAAAAATATATAAAAAAAAGACTGGCAATATCAAAGACTTCCACATAAGTTTTGTCCATGAGGGTATTTGAACCATATTAATCAAATTGAAGTATCTTTATTTAC